TAAACCAAGACTAAACCAGGACTAAACCAGCTCTAAACCAGGACTAAACCAGGATTAAACCAGGACTAAACCAGCTCTAAACCAGGACTAAACCAGGACTAAACCAAGACTAAACCAGGACTAAACCAGGACTAAACCAGCTCTAAACCAGGATTAAACCAGGACTAAACCAGGACTAAACCAGGACTAAACCAGCTCTAAACCAGGATTAAACCAGGACTAAACCAGGACTAAACCAGAACTAAACCAAGACTAAACCAGCTCTAAACCAGGACTAAACCAGGATTAAACCAGGACTAAACCAGGACTAAACCAGATCTAAACCAGGACTAAACCAAGACTAAACCAGGACTAAACCAGCTCTAAACCAGGACTAAACCAGGATTAAACCAGGACTAAACCAGCTCTAAACCAGGATTAAACCAGGACTAAACCAGGACTAAACCAGAACTAAACCAAGACTAAACCAGGACTAAACCAGCTCTAAACCAGGATTAAACCAGGACTAAACCAGGACTAAACCAGAACTAAACCAAGACTAAACCAGCTCTAAACCAGGACTAAACCAGGATTAAACCAGGACTAAACCAGGACTAAACCAGCTCTAAACCAGGACTAAACCAAGACTAAACCAGGACTAAACCAGCTCTAAACCAGGACTAAACCAGGACTAAACCAAGACTAAACCAGGACTAAACCAAGACTAAACCAAGACTAAACCAGGACTAAACCAGCTCTAAACCAGCTCTAAACCAGGACTAAACCAGGACTAAACCAGGACTAAACCAAGACTAAACCAGGACTAAACCAGCTCTAAACCAGGACTAAACCAGGATTAAACCAAGACTAAACCAGGACTAAACCAGCTCTAAACCAGGACTAAACCAGGATTAAACCAGGACTAAACCAGCTCTAAACCAGGACTAAACCAGGATTAAACCAGGACTAAACCAGCTCTAAACCAGGACTAAACCAGGACTAAACCAAGACTAAACCAGGACTAAACCAGGACTAAACCAAGACTAAACCAGGACTAAACCAGGACTAAACCAGCTCTAAACCAGGACTAAACCAGGACTAAACCAGGACTAAACCAAGACTAAACCAGCTCTAAACCAGGACTAAACCAGGATTAAACCAGGACTAAACCAGCTCTAAACCAGGACTAAACCAGGACTAAACCAGGACTAAACCAGGACTAAACCAGGACTAAACCAGGACTAAACCAGGACTAAACCAGACTAAAACCAAGACTAAACCAGACTAAACCAGGACTAAACCAAGACTAAACCAGGACTAAACCAGGACTAAACCAGCTCTAAACCAGGACTAAACCAGGACTAAACCAGGACTAAACCAAGACTAAACCAAGACTAAACCAGACCTAAACCAGGACTAAACTAGGACTAAAGCAGGACTAAACCAGCTCTAAACCAGGACTAAACCAAGACTAAACCAGGACTAAACCAGGACTAAACCAGCTCTAAACCAGGACTAAACCAGGACTAAACCAAGACTAAACCAGGACTAAACCAGCTCTAAACCAGGACTAAACCAGGACTAAACCAGCTCTAAACCAGGACTAAACCAGCTCTAAACCAGGACTAAACCAGGACTAAACCAAGACTAAACCAGGACTAAACCAGGACTAAGCCAGCTCCAAACCAGGACTAAACCAGCTCTAAACCAGGACTAAACCAAGATTAAACCAGGGCTAAACCAGGACTAAACCAGGACTAAACCAAGACTAAACCAGCTCTAAACCAGGACTAAAACCTAAACCAGACTAAACCAGGGACTAAACAGGACTAAACCAGGACTAAACCAGGAGCTCTAAACCAGGGCTAAACCAGGACTGAACCAGGACTAAACCAAGACTAAACCAGCTCTAAACCAGGACTGAACTCACAGAGATGATTGTGGGCGGGATCACTCCTTCCTCGACAGGAAGTGCCGCTTCTACCACCTGCAGCAAACACACGGTTACCATGGTTACGCATTAAAGTGTAAATGTTCCTTAGGGTCACACACAGAACCGGGTCAAACTCTGCAGTGACGTGACGCTGGGGGGTTCTACGTGTATCTCTATGGTGGAATGTTCAGCAGTTCTTATACACTGCCAAAAAAGCAGTTTAAATGTGTGTGGGGTTTTTGTGGTTTTTTACCATTTTGTGTCATTTAAACACAAAAAGTACAAGACCACAGATGACACCTTTAAATCACACAAAATGGCAGCACACCACCTGTCCCCGCCCCCTTCGTGCAGTGAGTTTTGCAGGGACCTGTGGCTGTGGCTGTGGCTGCCCACTGGGGGGCGCTGTCTTCTTCCAGGGGGGAGGCACATCTGCTGCTCCTGTCGCCGCTCTGAAAACAAAAACACTTTCACTTTCAGCGTGGGCGGAGTTACACTAATCTGTGTTAGACCTCAGACTCAGACTAAACCAGGTCTAAACCAGGACTAAACCAGGTCTAAACCAGGTCTAAACCAGGACTAAACCAGGACTAAACCACGTCTGAACCAGGTCTAAACCAGGACTAAACCACGTCTGAACCAGGTCTAAACCAGGACTAAACCACGTCTGAACCAAGACTAAACCAGGACTAAACCAGGTCTAAACCAGGACTAAACCAGGTCTAAACCAGGACTAAACCAGGTCTAAACCAGGACTAAACCAGGTCTAAACCAGGACTAAACCAGGTCTAAACCAGGTCTGAACCAAGACTGAACCAGGACTAAACCAGGTCTAAACCAGGACTGAACCAGGACTAAACCAGGACTAAACCAGGACTAAACCAGGACTGAACCAGGTCTAAACCAGGTCTAAACCAGGACTGAACCAGGACTAAACTAGGACTCAAGTAGGACTAAACCTGGACAGACAGGGTCTGAATCATGGGAAAGTGAGTTCCTGAGTCTCTCTCTGTCACGTGCGCCTCGTTCACGGTGCGATGAAAATGAAAACGGCGCCTGACGGTCGGGACGGCGCTCTCACCTGGTTGGCGTGGGCGTGGGCGCTTTGACGTGGCGCACGGGTGAGGGAGACTGCTGCCTGGCACCCGCCACCTTCCCGGCGGGTGAAGCGGCCAGGGCGGGCGACGGCGAGGCGGAGGGCGGGGACTTGGACGTGGGTTTGGGCGGGACTCTGGGCGGAGTCTTGTGTGTCAGAGTCACGCCCTCCATCTGGAACGTGGCCTCTACTTTCTGTGAAGGAAAAGAAGTATTTGTAGTACTTCTGTATGCTGCTAAAGTACTGTAGTACTAGTATTTGTAGTACTTCTGTATGCTGCTATAGTACTGTAGTACTAGTATTTGTAGTACTTCTGTATGCTGCTAAAGTACTGTAGTACTAGTATTTGTAGTACTTCTGTATGCTGCTATAGTACTGTAGTACTAGTATTTGTAGTACTTCTGTATGCTGCTAAAGTACTGTAGTACTAGTATTTGTAGTACTTCTGTATGCTGCTAAAGTACTGTAGTACTAGTATTGTACTAGTGATGAGTAGGTGTGCCGGTGAGTGGGTGAGTGGGTGAGCGGGTGAGTGGGTGAGCGGGTGGGTAAGCGGGTGAGTGGGTGAGCGGGTGAGTGGGTGAGCGGGTGGGTAAGCAGGTGAGTGGGTGAGTGGGTGAGTGGGTGAGCGACCTTCTCAACTCTGGTCTGTCGGATTGATGCAGTCGTGATCACGGTCTTCGTTTTCTTAGCAGGAACCGCCTCTTCACCTGAAACACACATTTATATAAACCAGGACTAAACCAGAACCAAACCAGGACTAAACCAGAACTAAACCAGGACTAAACCAGAACCAAACCAGGACTAAACCAGAACTAAACCAGGATTTAAACCAGGACTAAACCAGAACCAAACCAGGACTAAACCAGGACTAAACCAGGACTAAACCAGGACTAAACCAGAACCAAACCAGGACTAAACCAGAACTAAACCAGGATTTAAACCAGGACTAAACCAGGACTAAACCAGGACTAAACCAGGACTAAACCAGAACTAAACCAGGTCTGTCCCGGGTCTGTACCTTGCACCAGCAGCTCGGCGGTGGAGGTGGCGCGCCCTGCGCTGTTGCTCGCCGTGGCCGAGTACGAGCCACTGTCTTCGGGGAAAGCCTCTCGGATGAGCAGGCTGTGGAGGTCCTGATCCTGGACGATCCGGAAGTCCGCCGAGCTCTGGATCTCGGCTCCTTCTCGGTAGAACTTGACGGTGGGAGTGGGAATCCCGGAAACTCTGACATCCAGACGCACCGCGCTGCCTGTCCTCACGGTGGCGCTCTGGAGACGCTGCACGAACACAGGGGGCGCTGTCTCCGCTGCAACAGAAGAGAGAGGGTAAGACCAGGACCAGGACCAGACCAGGACCAGTCTGGAGCAGGACTGACCTGTGACCAGCAGCTCGGCGGTGGACGTGGCCTGTCCGGTGGCGTTGGTGGCGCGGACGGAGTATCGGCCGCTGTGCGACGCGTTCACGGCGGCGAGGCTCAGGACAGCGCGGCCTTCGCTGAACGAGATCCTCACGCCGGGAAGAGACGCGGCGGACAACACCTGGCCATCACGAAACCAACTCACCTCCGGAACTGGAGAACCTGTGGGGAGAACCGGGTCAGGATTGAGTCAGAACTGGGTCAGGGCTGGGTCAGGGCCGGGTCAGAACCGGGTCAGGGCCGGGTCTGGTCTGATATAAGTTTTCAAATTTACATAATCTTGTTTTCAGATTTATTTTCTTCTTACTTGCTCTGAGATGTTTTGTTCTTGTCTAGAGGTTGTTTATTTTAAGATAAAACAGGTTTAAACCAGGTCTAAACCAAGACTAAACCAGGACTAAACCAGGTCTAAACCAGGTCTAAACCAGGACTAAACCAGGTCTAAACCAGGACTAAACCAGGACTAACCCCATGGACTCACCAGTGACTTGAGCCTGGAACGTCGCGGCACTACCCTCCAGTGCCACGACGCTCTGCAGCGGCTGCGTGAACGTCGGCGCTTGGCTCGACATGTCTGCCGGCACCTGAACGCACCAAAACAGAGAAAACAGAGAAAACAGGAGGTTAAACAGGCGCCTGAACGCACCAAGGACAAAGCACAGAGAAAACACAGCACTGAAAAAAATCACTTTTGTGGTTAGTGAAATATAAAAAATCAACTGTGGTCATTCTTTTTATGTTATTTAAGAGCAATGGACAAAATGTATTTATTTTACTGATGTAGTTGAATTATTGTGTTTAATGAGTAAGATCTGCTTTATAATCAGCAACACGTTTGAAAAGTTTTACAGTCGCTGCTCAAATCCACAAATACTAAATAAAACCAAAGTGCTTCTAGATCAGTCCTCATGTTTCTAACCCTGAACACTTGTTCACAACCAAGAAACGTCACATCCAGTTCAGGTTTCTCTGTGTAAATGTGTGTGTAGGTGTGTGTGTGTAAGTGTGTGTGTAAGTGTGTAAGTGTGTGTGTAAGTGTGTGTGTAAGTGTGTAGGTGTGTGTGTGTAAGTGTGTGTGTGTGTGTAAGTGTGTGTGTAGGTGTGTGTGTGTGTAAGTGTAGGTGTGTGTGTAAATGTGTGTGTGTAAGTGTGTGTGTAAGTGTGTAGGTGTGTGTGTGTAAGTGTGTGTGTGTGTAGGTGTGTGTGTAAGTGTGTGTGTGTGTAAGTGTAGGTGTGTGTGTAAATGTGTGTGTGTAAGTGTGTGTGTAGGTGTGTGTGTGTAGGTGTGTGTGTAAGTGTGTGTGTAAGTGTGTGTGTAAATGTGTGTGTGTGTAAGTGTGTGTGTAAGTGTGTGTGTATGTGTGTAGGTGTGTGTGTGTGTGTAAGTGTGTGTGTAGGTGTGTAAGTGTGTGTGTAGGTGTGTGTGTAAGTGTCTGTGTAAGTGTGTGTAAGTGTGTGTAGGCGTGTCTAAGTGTGTGTGTGTGTGTGTGTAGGTGTGTGTGTAAGTGTGTGTGTGTGTAAGTGTGTGTGTGTAAGTGTGTGTGTGTGTGTGTGTGTGTAGTGTGTGTGTAAGTGTGTGTGTAAGTGTGTGTGTGTGTGTGTGTGTGTGTGTAAGTGTGTGTGTAGGTGTGTGTAGGTGTGTGTGTAAGTGTGTGTGTAGGTGTGTGTGTGTGTGTGTGTGTGTGTGTGTGTGTGTAAGTGTGTGTGTGTAGGTGTGTGTGTGTGTAAGTGTGTGTGTGTGTAAGTGTGTGTGTAAGTGTGTGTGTAGGTGTGTGTGTAAGTGTGTGTGTGTGTGTGTGTGTAAGTGTGTGTGTGTAAGTGTGTGTGTAAGTGTGTGTGTAGGTGTGTGTGTAGGTGTGTGTGTGTGTAAGTGTGTGTGTGTGTAAGTGTGTGTGTAAGTGTGTGTGTAGGTGTGTGTGTAAGTGTGTGTCGTTTTCTCCAGCAGTTTCATAAATTTGCTCCATCATCAAATCTTCCACCAACAAACTCCACAAAGGAGAAACTTTCTTCATGAACAATTTATCCACAAAGATCAAGAGAAGAAAGAACAAAACTTAAAGAAATGAGACACGAGTCACACGACAAACTCCACTCATGTTCTGATCCTGAAGAAAACAGAAGGAAACTTGTTCAGACTCGATTTCCTGAGGTGGAGATTTTCAGACGCAGATTTGTGACGTTAAAATGTGAACGTCTTTAGGAGCATAAAGTTATTTTTTGTTCATTTGTATAAGTTTTTATTTTGTTTTTATTTATTTTCCACAGACGTGTGTCACAAAGACGTGTTTACAGATCATTCTTCTTCTCTCCACACTCTGTAGCCACAGCTGCCCTGGGGCAAACTGACAGGAGTGAGGCTGACAATCTGCACCATCGGCCCGTCCCACCACCATCACCCACACAATGCACTTTCACACAGGCAAGGCCTGGTCCAGACCCGGTCCAGACCCGAGCCCGGTCCAGACCCAAGCCCGGTCCAGACCCGGGTCCTGTCCAGACCCGAGCCCGGTCCAGACCCAAGCCCGGTCCAGACCCGGGTCCTGTCCAGACCCGAGCCCGGTCCAGACCCGAGCCCGGTCCAGACCCGGTCCAGACCAAGCCGGTCCAGACCCGGTCCAGACCCAAGCCCGGTCCAGACCCAAGCCCGGTCCAGACCCGGTCCAGACCCAAGCCCGGTCCAGACCCGGGTCCTGTCCAGACTCGAGCCCTGCCCAAACCCAGTCCTGCTGAGATTTGACCCCAGTTCAGGCTTTGACCAGAGATGTGTCCAACTTTTATACACAGTTATTTTTGGTTAAAATAAGAGGCAGCATTTATATAATAATATTAGATACATATATTATCTATTTTATTATATATATATATTATATATTTTATATTATATATTATATTTTTATATATATTTATATTATATATTATATATATTTTACATTAGAGTGATGTAACTTCTTTTTGAGCCTTGAAGGTGGAAAAGCTCTGAATAAAATTTTACCATTTTTTATCATCATCAGTAAAACTAAACATATATTTATTATTAATTATTTCATCACAGCAATGCAATACATTATGACAATTTATATATTTTACTTCATTTTTTTTTTTTACATAAATATGACTTTTACATTTTTTTTAAATTGAGTAACAGTTCATCAATAAATTCTTGACTTTTAATGATAAAAACATTTGAATTTATACGAACAAATAAACTGCCCCTGATTTTAGTGAGACTCAGGTCTGGATCCTAAAAAAGTCCCACTGACAGAACCGAGCAGAACTTTTCTTGGATGTGTTTAGAACAATCTGGAGCTGGATCAGAACAAGTATAAGAGCACAGAGACTAGGACCAAAGCAGGACTAAAGCAGAACTAAAGCAGAACTAAAGCAGAACTAAACCAGGACTAAACCAGGACTAAACCAGGGATCACACACGTACAGTATGAGACCACATGGGAATAATGAAGAAAGTTCTAAAAGATCTGAAATAAACAACAGTCTGAGCAGGATTTGAACAAAGACCAAAATAACTCCATCAGAATTAGACCAGGACTGAACCAGGACTACAGCAGGACTAAAACAGAACTAAACCAGGACTACAGCTCTTGTTAAACACACACAGTCACAGACCTGTTCACTTTGACTGGATCATCGTCCAAAAAGAATCAGAAAACCTCCAGAGTCTGTGCAGGTCCTGGTCAGTCTGTCCCCAGAGCGCTCACTGAGTCCAGGTCGAGTCCCAGTTTAGTCCTGGGTCTGAGGGGAGGGGGGGGAGTGAACAAATGGCCCTCATAAACTCAGGGTTTAGAACTATTTTTAGAACTATGACACCCTGAGAATCACAGGACTAAACCAGGACTGTACCAGGACTGAACCAGGACTGAACCAGGACTGAACCAGGACTAAACCAGGACTAAACCAGGACTGAATCAGGACTGAACCAGGACTGAATCAGGACTGAACCAGGACTGAATCAGGACTAAACCAGGACTAAACCAGGATTAAACCAGGACTAAACCAGGACTGAACCAGTACTGAACCAGGACTGAACCAGGACTGAACCAGGACTGAACCAGGACTGAATCAGGACTAAACCAGGACTGAACCAGGACTGAACCAGGACTGAACCAGGACTAAACCAGGATTAAACCAGGACTAAACCAGGACTGAACCAGGACTGAACCAGGACTGAACCAGGACTAAACCAGGATTAAACCAGGACTGAATCAGGACTAAACCAGGATTAAACCAGGACTAAACCAGGACTGAACCAGGACTAAACCAGGACTGAACCAGGACTGAACCAGGACTAAACCAGGACTGAATCAGGACTAAACCAGGATTAAACCAGGATTAAACCAGGACTGTACCAGGACTAAACCAGGACTAAACCAGGACTGAACCAGGACTGAACCAGGACTAAACCAGGACTAAACCAGGACTAAACCAGGACTGAATCAGGACTAAACCAGGATTAAACCAGGACTGTACCAGGACTAAACCAGGACTGAACCAGGACTGAATCAGGACTAAACCAGGACATTTAAATTAAAGTGAGTCAGTGTAAAAATATTCACAGTGCAGTTCTCTGACTGTACAGAGTAAAGCCGGTGAAGTGCTTTGCCCAAAGGCACAACTACAGTGTTTCCTGTCCTGGACGAACATTGAACCTGTGACCTGACTCAGGACTTGGTTTGGGGGGGCCCTGGGTACACCACGGGACCACAGGGGGGCACAGGGGGCACCGGGGACCAGGGGGGCACCGGGGACCAGGGGACCACAGGGGGGCACCAGGGACTAGGGGGGCACCGGGGACCAGGGGGGCACCGGGAGTCATCAGGGGTAAAGAAGGTATTTGTGTCCTTAGGCAAGACACGTTCTAATGTTTTTCACACTCAGAGCTGAAGTTGTGTTTGAGTGTTTCTTTATTCTGAGTCTGTTACATCTCCAAAGCTCCAAACACTCTGTTCCACCTTGTGATGTCATGAAGTTCTCAGCTCTTTTCCCTTTAGTTGAGTCGAGATCAGCGACTCCAGGACTGAAATGTTCCAGATGTTTCTGGTGACGGTGTGTGGAGTTTAAACATGTTCATTTTGTTTTCTTACGGACTTTAACTTCTTGGATTCTTTTTAAAGACGATACAGTGAAGAATATTTCCGTTGTTGTTTCGTTGTTGTTTCGTTGTTGCGTGTTGGCGCTGACGTGTCGTACTTCAGCTGCTGTCACTTCCTGTGGGCGTGGTCGGCCTGTAGGACGACACGTCAGCACCAACACCGAGGACAGGTCTGAAGACGCAGCAGCAGAAACACGTCAACAAGGGAAATACTCTTCACTGTATCGTCTTTACAAAGAACTCAAGAAAAATTTAAGGTGTGTGGAGTTTAAAAACACACTGGAGCTCTTCCTGTATCACCACATGATGACATCACAAGGTGGAATAGAGTGTTTTCAGTTTGAGAGAAGTCTCTAGTCTGGTCTCTGGTCTTGTGGAATGTGCTGATGTCGTTCTCAGGTTACAGCAGCTGCACTGTCATTGGTCAAAAATAGCACGGGGGCGGGGCCTTACAGTGAGCCTCAG